TTTTTTTTTTTTCTTAGAACCAGAACTATGTTCAAATAATAAGTTTCTAAATAGAAGCTCTAATCACGTGCTCATTGTTTCTCTTGAGGTAGTTCCATTAAAAATAATGTGACATGGGCATGACCCTTATTGCAAAATCCCAGTCCTCGTGGGAATGAAATTGATACTCTGGGATGTCTATTTCAGAGATGTGTTCCTTTTAAATAGGGCATGTTATCTACCCTTAGGAACTAAAAACCCAATGCTTTCCCTAATGTTCTCCATCTCTGTCGTCAGGTCAGAATTGGTATTTCTCTATCTACTAGCTTCTTGGAGGGATTTCCTCAGCAGAGATTCTGACAACACACTTGCAATAGCTCACAGACAGTTTGAAAGAAAAGACGAGACTGTGCTGGCTCTGATGCCCAAAACGTTTTTGTTTTTGTTTTTGAGCTCAAAAAACTACATGGATTCAGAAGGGACCCAGTCCCCCTCATTTTACAGATGAGGAATCTGAAACTCAGACTTCCCCAAAATGACACTGAGCATGACTGTTACAAAGCTGAGTTTCTAAGTCCCGGTCATATGGCAGCAACAAAGAATTACAAAAAGCAGTATTTCTCAAGCCTTAAAGTTTATAGAGATCACCTGTGGATTTTGTTCAAGTGCCGATCCTGATTCAGCAGGTCTGGGGTGGGGCCTGAGAGCCTGCCCTTCTAACAAACTCCCAGGGGATGCTGATGCTGCGGGTCCTGGACCACACTTCCAGTAGCGAAGGTGTCACAACCATGGATGTGGTTTTAAACACTGGTTCGGCTGCTGGGAGACTTTTATCACGTTCCCCTTTCTGAGCCTCAGTTGCCCATTTGTAGAATGGAGATGGTAGATTCTTTATGTAGCCCCAATGCGGGGCTTGAACTCACAACCCTAAGATCGAAACCTGAGCTGAGATCAGGAGTTGGACACTTAACCGACGACTGAGCCACCCAGGCACCCTGACGGTAGCTTCTATGCAGGGTTAAAGTTAAATGACAAAATTTATGCATTTACATAACCCTTCCCATCACATAAGAGATTGTTTTTCTCTTTCAGTGCACATTCTACTGCTCCCTATCCCTCCATTTCAGCCAGGCAGGGACAACCAAAGCAATGAAACTGGCTTTTTTCCACAACTAATTTGTGCAGCCCACTGGGGCTTAGAGCCTGCGTGCTCTGTGTCGGACCTTAACCAAACTGCTACCTCAGCTTTCAGTCCATGGAAGGGCTTCTCAAAAAGCCACTCGGTCCCTGAAAGTGTATCTGATGACGCTATAGAGATAGGCATCTTGCAAACATTTCCTATCAAAATGTTGGAGTGACTGTCACCCAGAGATTCTTTCTCTAACTCCCTGCCAGGATGCTATTAAATCAAGACCCTTGCTCTCTTCCTTCAGGATGGCCCATCTCCAAGAAAGGAATTCTCTTACCTTGAGAAAGTATAGGAGGCAGGAATCTTCCCATTCTGGAGAACACTCTTCTTTTCTCACCACTACCCACCCCCTGGAATGATCTTTTATAAATGGTCATTATTGAGCCATCTGGATGTTTAAGAAAACAAATTCTCTGCCCCCAGTGAACTTAGCATCTTGCTGGAGACTTGGCTTATATGCTTTCAAGACAACATACAATCACAAACTAGAACAGTCTTGATTGTATATACAGGTGCTGAGGGGGATGCAAGGTAAGGAAAGACCAGGGTGGGCTGGGGTTAGTAAGGGTGGGATTTCTGGTGAATTGTGAATTTCGAATCCCCCACCCCCAACCCATCACCTTTCCACAGAGATTTCCCCCATTCAAAGGCACTTACTTACCCTGGAGAAAGCCATTTAGGCTAATGACATAATGCTGCCAAGTGTCAGGTTCAGAAACGTTGAAGTTGAAGTTAAGGCTATGGGCGAAGGGTCTAATCATAACTCCTGGCAACGAAAACAGGTCTTGGATATATTAACCCGTTCTTGGGATAATTTTTTTGTATTGATTCCCATGAAACCCTTACCCCCCAGGCAATCAAAACAAAAAGGACCATAATTTGCCAAGTACCATTTTACTTTTACTCTTAATAATTGAATCCCTAAGTCATTACCAGGAAGAGCCAAAGTTAATTGAGGCTGAACATGCTGTCCAAGCAGATTTCTGTCCAGCGACTGCTGACAGCACAGGGCATCTGGGCACTCACCAGGAGGCTTCACCCTCTCAGTGAAGGTCGGCATGTAGGGACTGATGGTCAGAAATAGCGTGTACATGCAGAGGGTGATGACAGCGGCCAGGGAGGCATAGAAGAAGAAGTAAATGACTAAGATCAGGCCTGCAGAAGGATCAGAGATGAGAGTGGTCAGTGCTTGCCAACTAGCCCTCCTGCCTCCTCGCTTGAACTATTGAGCTAGAACCAACCCCAACATGTGAGATGGCTTTTATTTATTTATTTATTTATCCATATTCCCCAGATTCAGTATGTCCTTGCTTATTCAGATTTCACCAATTTGGAATTCGTGAGAACTGTGCCGGAGGTCTGATTGCAGTGTACCTTTACAGCATCTCCGATGGAAGGGCTTGTTGAGCAGATGATGGCCATGAGCAAGATTACAGGGGAGTGGAGTTGAGAGTACTGCAGAGGGCAAATTGCTTGGGAGCCCTCATTAAAGCAGGTGCCCTGAAAAGTCCTAGCGGCTTGGCTCCAGTGATTATATGTATTTGCAAGAGATGAAAACAGCATTTCTTTTCACATAGCCTATAATTCAAACTTTTGATTAATTTCCGCTGGACTTGCCTCTACTCTAATCAAGGCAAAGTGAGGCCTCACCCCTTATTTCAAATCTTATTCATCTTTAGCAAAAGTTTAAGTGGCTCTGCTTTTCCAAAAGAACACGCGACGGGGAAGGAAGGAGGAAGAAACTGTACTTAATTATCGACACTTGCTCTACCTGTGAGCTTGGGCAAGTTCCAGAACCTCTCTGTGCCCCCAAGTCCTCACAGGTAAAATGGGAACAAGCTTAGCACTTCACTAATATACTGATCTACATCCCTAACAATATCTGAAATTCCGCTTCTCCTCGCGTCCTTTCCTGACCTTACCATTTCCTCGCTGTTTCATCTTGGACATACTGCTCGCCTCTCTGGGCCTCAATTTCCTCATCTGTACAATGAGGACTATAATAGGACTTCCTTCTTGGTGTGGGACGATGCATATAAATAGCATAGCACAGAGCCTGGCAGATACCAAGTGCTCTTTACACGGCAGGTCCTCACCATTGTTATTATTCATGTGCTTATTGCTGTAGGACCCAAAGAAGCACGGTTGTCTGAATGCCTCCTCCGCAGGCTGTTTTGGGATTAGGTTTGCCCCAGGATGAGGCAGCACCGAGTGAGGTGAATGAGCCCGAGATGGCTGCTGAGAAGCTCTTTTCAAGTCTTCCTTGGTGCCCTCTCCGGCAACAATATCTGGCTCCGCTCACAGCAATGACATGATGTCGGAACAGACAGATTTGAACTGAATCACGAACCAGAAACCGGAGCAAACCACATAACTTTGCTGTACCCAAAACTGAATCCAAATATTAATTTTTAAATTGAACCATGAACCAAATAAAATTAACCAGAAAGGGGGGGGGGGAGGAGCGGAGGAAGGGAGAAAAAAGATCCTCAGGCATCCAACTGGAAATGGAACCTTGATGTTTCATAAGGTGAACTGAGGCAGAACTGGGGCAGGAACACATCGATTCCGCTGGAATCCCTGGAGAAGAAACAGCAGCGCCCGTGCGCCTGTGGTACTTGGCTCCTGCCCACTGGCTGCCCTGATGGGATGTGCCCTGTGCCTCCTCCCCCCTTCCTCAACCCCAGTCCCCAGTCCTGGGAAGGGGTCAATGACTGGAGCCATCCTGGGGGACTAGAAGACTCAGTCTCATGGATGAAAGGAAAGCAATGGGATACAGGTACATTCCCTTGGAGATGTCTTCTGCCTTGCGTAGGATGTATGGCTAGGAAGTGTAGAGGGGAGAATGGCACTAGTGGTGAGTCCCCTGAGCCTTACCCCTGAGCTATGCCCTGAAGTCTGTGATGGGCTAACACAGCTTCCCACCCCCCCATCCCCACCAAGGAAGACCAAGCACCATACCCATCGGAACCCACTGAACCCTCCAACTTTTTCTGCCCTGGATGTCCAGGTTTTACTTGGGCTACTCCTCTAGGTAATCCAGGGGTCTCTTCTGAATGCCTTACCTAAGCCTGGGCCCCATGATCTAGATTCTTCATTCCTCCCACCAAAACATCCCATCAGGTCCTGAGACCCTATCCATCAGGGCCTTGCTCATCACTACACTTCATGAAGACAATGTGGTGTTCCAGCAAGAGGATGAGCCCCAGTGTTCATCTGACCTGGGCTTGAATTCCAGTGCTGCAGCTTAATAACTGTGTGACTTTAGATAAGTTACTTACCCTCTCTAAGCCTCAGTTTCTGCATCTGTAAAATGGGGATAATAATATTACTACCTCATATGGTTCTTGTCAGTATCCAATAAAATAACAGATAGTTCCTAAAAATAGAAGTTGCCCAGCTACCAAAGGGAAAACCCGGAATAGTATAATCATAGGCTGGGTGAATAATGTTGGTCATGTCGATGTGCAGGCTGGGATAGGGTTAGTAAATGCTCAAGTGGGCACCTAGTTTTCAAGCAAGAGGGCAGCAAAGAGGGCAGCAAAGCATATGCTCGGTGGCCTAGGCATTAACATCACCATGTGCCCCTTGCCCAGGCATAGCCCAACAGCATAAGCCTGAGTTCCTGGACTCTCCTCAGACCTGCCATCCAGTGGCCCGGATATGGCCTACCATGCGGTGTCCCCACTGCCATGTCTTCCCTGGGCACTTGAAACTTTCTCCCCCATCATTCTCTTTTGGCCTGTGGATTATTCTCCCCAGGGGCCACATGGATCAGCTCATCTGGTGAAATTCCAATGGCTGGCTGTTTAGGGGTTAAAGTACAGCTCCCTCTCCCAGAATCACACTTGCATTTCACAAGGCCTATTTTCCCAGTCTTCTTTAGGCAAGGGAGAAACAGCTGTGCCACCTTAGGAGCCCCAGTGAGTGTCCGGCATTTGTCTGCAGCTTCCAGAATGTTGGAATGTTCCTTGAATGGTACATTTGTTCCAGTTGAGAGTTTGAGGGATTGGCAGGGGTGGGGCTGGGAACTGAGGAGGGGTGAAGGGAGGTGGGCGTTGCTCAGAGCCCCACACCTGCTATTCCTAATTCCAGGAAGGAGGGCTGGCCGTCTCACCCTGACGGAGCTGAATTAGAAACATAAACTAGGTGGGGAGAGAATTCTCAGCCAAAGGGGCCTTTAGAAGGCATGACCGTCAACTTCAGCAACCTAGACCCTGGGCCCTGGGGGACTCTGATTTCATCCGCAGAGTCATCTATTTTGTTTTTCTCCTGGGTTAACTGAGTGCCAAGCCAGCGGCTACTCTTTTTCTGGGCTGTGCAGAGAGTGTGGCAAGTGTGAATTTTACCACAGGCTAAATCTCCTGAGGAGAAGGCACAGCATGAATAGTTCAAGAGGTGAGTAGGACCCTGGGAAAGGGGTGCTGGAGAGGTCGTGAAGTCAAGGCCGTGGCTAAGGAATGCCATTCTGCCACTGATTGAGCGCGACGGGGGCTCGGCCGTAATCGCCAGAAATGACCCCTTTAAACCGAATTTCTCTGTGTACACCGTGGGAGCCTAAAGCACCCACAAGCCGGGGCCAAGGGCAGGCCTCCTGGCTTTTCTTTTCTGACATTACTGGGTGAAACGATGAGATTTTATAAATCCGCGGTCAAGTTAGCAGGGACTGGGGTCTCATATCCTAGCAACAGTCTACTGCATGGTACAGTTGACCCTTGAACAGCACGGGGCTTAGGGGTGCCAACCCCCGTGCAGCTGAAAATCTGTGTCTAAGTCTTGACTCCCCCAAACGTAACTCCTAATAGCCCACTGTTGACCAGAAGCCAGGAAGAGTCAATTCACACGTATTTGGTACATTACATGTAGGATATGCTGTCTGCTTACGATAAAGTAAGCTACAGAAAAGGCAATCTTGTGGAAGAGAAAATACATTTCCAGCACTACGCTGTATTTATGGGGGAAAACACAGCACCTGTGTGGGGCAGTGCCGTTCAAACCTGTGTTGTTCAAGGGTCAACTGTGCTTTCAAGTTTACAGCTGGAGCATCTGACGGGAGCCTCAGGCTGATCCTGTGGGAGAAACATGGTAGGGATTGTTTCCCTCATTTGGCAGGTGAGGAAGAATGAGGCTCAGAGAGGGTAAAGGATGAGCCCAAGGTCACACAGATAGAAAGTGATGGGGCCGGGACTTAAACAACAACAAAAAATCTGTGCTTTCTCAACTCATTCTTACTGTCTCTCTGCATCGCAAATGAAGTTGAGCCCAGCGGCTTTCAGCTCCACAATCTAGTGTGTTTACATACTTGGAGTTTCTTCCGATGGGATCTGCCCACAGTCCAGGCATTTCCCTAGGCATTCAGCCCTTCACACGAAATCTAAGAGAAGTTTGCAGACAAGCCCATCCAACGTATGGTAAAGGAGTCCTGGACACCAAGCCAAAAGCAAAGGACACCCGACTGGGGCATTGGGACAACTGGGACTTACTCCAACTCTGACCTGTTCGGGCCAGAGACATCCTTTTCTCCGGATCCCACAGGTATTCGCTCACGATCTGCCATCTCTGCCACCAAGCATTGCCTGCTGGCTGACCTTGACCCTTTTCCTCCTCCTTTTCCTTCTCTTCTATCTCCTCCTCTTCCTCCTCCTCCTCTTCTTCCTCCTCCTCCTCCAAATTGGGTACCACCATCACCCGAGCCTCTTCTTCAGCTTCTTCCTCTTCATCTGCTAAGTAGTTCTGGTTCACTTCATCCTGATCATCCTGGAATGGTGACAAAACACAGTCCCCTTTTTGAAAAAAAATTCCCCAGGGCGCATCCCACCAGCCAAAAGGAATGGAAAACGACTCAATATTCAGAGACGCTTCCCCCTCGTTACAAGAGGCACATGTTCTCTCTCTCTCTCTGCTCTTTTGGAGGAAATATCCTTTCTTTGACCCATTTTGACCCAATATTCTTTCCACAGAGGTGTAAGTTTTATTCTCAGCTGCAGGCCCTTGGGCTCTTCCCCCCAGGACTCTGCTTATGTCACTCCTCCGTCCTGGGGCCTTGGTCTCGCTTTGTCTGGCCTGTTAGGGCAGAGCTGAGCTCAACACCGGAGAACAGACTCATTTTAGACACTTGAGTCCACCATGGCAAATTCTAAGTCCAAGCCAGCTTTACCATCGGTCCTGTAGCTGGCAGGTGCTCAACCTGACCATCCACGTTGTATCTGAAAGTAGCCTGGGACAGACAGCAGGAGGAGAGGCCAGTGGCTGGACCCCTCCTCAAAACTTAGACTCCCTCCCTAGCAAAAACAAAACACAGGGGTCCGTTTGCTGCTTCTCTGACTGTTGCCTGGGCTGGCACCTCCGCCGGTCGAACAGACTCCCGAAGGTCTGGAACCTCAACTGATACTTCCTTAGTCTCCCCCCACCCCCCACCCCCACCCCATACCCTAGGCAAAAATCTGGGCACGTAGTGAGTGCTCAGCACATATCTGTTGATTGACTGATTGCAGTCATTGAGATCTGAAACTATAATCTTCTCTGAGTGGTTCTAAGGAAATTAAACAAAAAAAGAGAAACCCAGACTTCACCAACGGTATTTCAAATGCCTCCCAGCCATAGGCAGGAGAGTTGGATCTTTGCTCTTTGGGGGTCTGCCAAGGCTCACTGCAGCAGCAGAAAATGAGGCCACCCTCCCTTCTCTCTGCTGTCCAAATCTGAAGGGTGGCGGGGCCTGTGCACCTGTTGGGGTTGGATGTGTCAAATGATAGAGGCCAGGGGCTCCATGCTGCCCCCTCCCTGCCTGATTCCTCAAAGGCCGTTTAGAGGACACTCAGCTAAAAATGCTGCCATTGGTGGGGGGGGCGGGCCTCAGAAAATTGGATTGTTCAGAATCAGTAAAAGGGACAGAGAATGACAAGGCTCTGCTCTCAGTGTTCAGTCTGGCCAGCGCTGTCTAGCTCTGGATCGTAAGCACTTCTGAATGGCTCTCGAGTTTGTTCCAATGTACAGCTTTCTATCACACACCATACTAGAACTGACTGGGACCCTGAAGATTCCCTTGTCCCTCGGAGGCCCAGAGAGGGAGCAGGACATAGCTGTAGCCACACAGCGAGTTTGTGATCGAGTTGACAGAACCTGTGTCTCTTGTTACCCGGGACAGTGACGTGTCTCCCCTCGCGCACTGAGCGCAAGCGCCCAGACGCTGTTAACAGAATGATGGAGCCACCATAGGTGTGTCGGGTTCTGTGCTCCCAAGAGATTGTAGGTGCTCATAATCAAGGATTTCTGGCTCTGACGTGGACTCACGGTACAAGGCTCAGAAAAGCCCCCATCACTCAGCGTTGAATGGACTAATAAATGTTCTTAAATCTCTTTACCTTGTGTGCGAACACACGGACGCATTTGACCTCCCCAACTACATTCTGAGCACCCAAGGGGCAGAGTGGATATTTTCCAACTCCTTGATGGCCCTGCCCCCGTGTGGGGCCCACAGCTCAGGAGCCGGTGGGGACCGAACAAGCGCCAGTGGTAACTGCCCCACTTAAAACCTGAGCCTGGACTCTGGGGAAATTGCTCTCACAGAGCTTGTCGTCCTAAACCCCAGCAGCCTTGTGGACTGTGGTGTGTAGTCCTCATGGCCCCCCAAGAATCTACCGCACCTGGGAATCTCCGAGAATTTGAGGTGGAATGGTTCACTGCGAAAGGATTTATAGTCCCCTTTATGTTTTCTGAACAACTTTTCTCTCCCTCTTGCCCGGGGCAGGGGGGGGGCCTGCCCTCCACCTCTGCTCCACAGAGGAGGCAGCTGGCCTGGGCCTCAGCCTGATCTTATTTGTAGATATGAGCTTTTATGATAATCCCATTAAAGATGGCTTGTCATTTAAAGCTTTACCCTCCCAGGAAGAATTAACCTTCTCCGAGCTAATTTCCCCACGGCTCTCACACTGCCTGAGTTTCAGGAATCTCAAATGTCATTTTTGCTCTCCTCTGCTTCCCGGGACAGGAGAACCTCACATTGTGCAAGGGAGGCACTTTTGTGCAACTAACTATTTAACAGAATCCTGTAGGGAATCCTTTGGTGATGAGAGGCAGTGCCCTCCTGTGATAGTGTGTTTGAATGTGCTGGAATATAGTAGTGGGTGTGTGCCGGGGCCATCATGTTGCCCTAAAAGGGAAGAGTCTGAAGGGCAGAGGGTGGCTCCATTTTGAGCACTCTAAATATATAAACATATAAACAAACAGTGTGACCCAAAGGATAAATTTGTGCCCTGCATTGAGTAACACCATGTAAACGTTTGAATGGTTGGTTGATTTTAAAGAGAAATTAGCATATGATTAACCACTGCATTAAATAGTTTCTTTTTAAATTTGATCAAGTATTCCCTCTAAAGGGCAAGATCCCCCGATGCCTTTAAAATCAAGCATTTCCTATAAAGAGCAAGCTCCTCTGATGCACTTGACAAATAACTGAACCTATACACAACCCTTTAGCAACATTACGGAGAAAAGAAGCCAAGGAAGGAAGAGTTCTAGGTGCCCTACAGGCTGTGAGTGCTCCAAAAGCTGGGAGGGACTCTTGAAATGCCCAAAGAAAGATTCTACACGGTGTGGCTGAGAAGGGAAGCCCTCTGTAGGTTGACGTGGACGTGGAAGGATTCGTGTTTTCCTCTGCGGGCTGTTGACAGTCTTTACTTAACTCCCTGGTTATATAAGGGGCCATTTCCAAAGAAAAGTGGATTAAGCTTTGTTTCCTCCTGGGGCTCAGATCACAGCCCTCTCTGGGGGAGATTTCAGACTCCCCCCCTCCAAAAAAAAGTACTGCGTGTGGCATATATTAACGATTTCTAGCAAAGAACATGCAAAGAAACCGTGGGTTCAAAGAAATCTGTGATGCACCCTGGATGAAGATAAATGGCGACAGCAGAGAAGCGCGTGCTGAGAGTGTGTGTGTGTGTGTGTGTGCTGGGCGGGGTGGGGTGGGGTGGCAGGCAGGCTGGCAACGGATGGGGGAGGATCAGAGGGCTACGGAGTTGCCTACTGCACGTCTAATAGAAAGATCCCAAGATTAGAAGTGAGGAAACTTGGCGTTCTCACTAGCTCTCTCACTAACTTGCAAGTCACTCCTGTGCTCTGAGTCCCAGCAGCCTCCTTTACATAATGAGGGGTTCTGGAGAGATGATGTCTAAGATTACGCCCGGCTTCTATCTACGATTCTCTGATTTTTCGCGAGAGTTTGGAATTTCTGCTTTAGAAAAAGAGCAGCTGGGTTCCTCAGGCGCTCCCGCCCCGGGGGACTGAAGACAGCTGGGTGGGCTGTCTTTCCCTTCCTCTTCCCCTTCCTCTCTCTCCTGGCTAAAATTTCCTGCTATCGGACCAAAACCTCTACTCCCAGACTCCAAAAGCTCTGTTTGTTTAAATTCTAGACTCCCCCCCCCAATTTTAGAAGGCCCCTATTCTTTGGCATCTTCCCCTCCCCTTGTCTTTTGTTCCCCAGGAAGAGGGGCTTCCTCCTTCAATGCAGCAATTTAGGGCACAGTGGGGTGCCAGGAGTCACCGCTGGATCTTGAAATTATAGGCTTCCTTACACCTCGCTGTTCCTGCCCATGCTGAGGAGAAGCGGCCATAAGCCAAGATCTACGCAACCCCCAGCCCACCCCCCTCAAAAGGGTGGGCAAAATATTCTGCTCCCCGGGACTCACAAGTCTGTAGCGATAAGCATAAGGAGAGGCCGGAGCCCTTCTGGACCGGAGCTGCCTTCTCATGGCTGTTCCGTGGGCACAGACGGGGCAGAGGCAGGCCAGGGGGTGAGAGTTCCGGAGCTTCTGCTGGTACAGGAGACACTGGTTGCTGGGGACACTTGGCGCCTAGTAAAAGTGAACCCTCCTGGCATGAGCCCTTCCCCAAAATAATCTAACATGCCCCTCTCTCATTGGTTGGCCCATTCCCTGAATCAAAGGAAAGCCCTTATGGAAAAGCAAGCTCATCATCACAGGGAGGAGGGAGATATTCTGGGTCACGAGGATGAGCGACTCACCACCCCCCTCACCTCACGTCTCTACCCGCCCTCTGCCCTTCTCTAGCGCCCGAGGTACTATGGGCCCAATGGAAATCTTCAGTCATGTTCTTCTCAATTGAGAGCTGAGTATCAGTGTGTGCAGGAGGTGGGGCGTGGGTGGGAGTTGGGGGTGAGGGGACATGGCCAAGAATAACTTTCTTTTTTCATAAGACTGATCTCATGCAAAAGGATCTAGGGTGTCAGGAAAGATTCCCTTTGCTCTCCCCACCCGCCCCCCCCCACACACACATCAAGCCACCTACAATATTCCTTATTTGTGTCAACCCATGAGCCCCTTGAAATGTGGATTATGCATTCCGATTTTAGAGGCCAGGCTCCTGCTTTACCCCTCCCCTCCCCAAAGAGGGTCTTGGACATAAAGAAGCCTTTTTCTAGCCCACATGTCAGAATGGCGCCATCAGTCACTGCCCCTCACGCACACACCCCTTGGAATCCTGGCCACATTTCTGTAGTGGTTGAGATCTATATTTATCCCTTAGCATCAGGGCAGGGAACAGGCCAGAACTTTGCAGTGTCAGTTTCCCAGACATATATAACTCCTAAAGCCAATGTGGGATCCAACAAAAGAAAAATTAGTAGAAAGAGCCAAAACATTGTATAGCATTTTTGGTCTGTTCGGTCCACCCCACCAGAGCCTGGGTGGCTAAAAGGCTTGGGTGGAATTTGTGATCCTTCTTTCACAAATCACCCCGTTATACCCAGGTGGCTGAGAATGTTGCAGATAATGAGATTCTGGGCATATACATAACCAAGAAAACCAGCACAATAGCTTAGATAGATTGACTTATTCATAATTCCAAGCCTAGGCTATTCTGATGAAGACAGCTTCAATAGTGGTTAATTTAAAATAAAGACTCCATTTACTAGAACGCTACTAATTAGGACTCTTCCTTAACAGAGTCCCTCCCCGCTCCATACCCTTATTTGATGAGAAAGAGGCCACTGACAAAAAAAGAGAAACTCATTCCTCTTTTTGGACTTTAATAAAAGCAAAATACATTCCAGGGGTTAACCTGATCTCAGTAGATACTGGGCTCTCTCACACTTTCTCCAGTCAAGCCTTTTGTGTGACTTCTAATGTTAAATATGAGAATCTCAAAGCCCTTTGTAAGCCTCAGAAACCAGAGGATAGGTTAACTAGTCTTGTCTTCCTAACGCAGAAAAGAGCACAGTCATGTAAGCAAGATTTCAAAAATCAAGAGTTGGGGGGCAGCATTATTCACAATAGGCAAGGTCTGGAAGCAACCTAAGTGTCTGTCAGTGGATGAATGGATAAAGAAAGCGTGATACACAGACACACACACACACACACACACACACACACAGAGGACTATCGTTTAGCCATGAGAAAGAAGGAAATCCTGCCATTAGCAACAACATGGATGGACCTTGAGGGCATTATGCCAAGTGAAATAAGTCAGACAACAAAAGGCAAATAGTGTATGCTCCCACTTATATGTGGACTCTAAAAAAGCCACACTCATAGAAACAGAGTAGAATGGTGGTTAGCAGGGGCTGGGGTGGGGGAATTGGGGAGATGTTGGTCAAAGGGTACAAACTTCCACTTATAAGGTGAACAAGTTCTGGGGATCTAACGTACAGCATGGTGACTATCGTTAATAACACTGTATTATTACTTGAAAGTTGCTAAGAGAGTTGATTTTAAGTGTCCTCACCATAAAAAAGAAATGGCACTTAAGTGACGTGATGAAGGTTTTGTCAGCTAACACTATGGTGACCATCGTTTTGCAATATATAAGGGAGTCAAACCACCTTGTACACCTAAACGTATACAATGTTATATGTCAATACATCTCAATAAAGCCGGGGAAAAAACCCAAGAGGGGGAAGACAGAAGGAGATTTGGAGCAACGTGACCTCAGGTAACAAAATATTCCATTCTCCAGAATCTCCCACGCCTGAGCCTTCTGGGTCACTTGGGGTTTGCCATACACTTAATATATTTGCAGTGTATTTTGACTATAGCTCAGGCTACCTTCTGGAATGCCAGCTCTTGGGTGGGGTAAAAGAACAAAATCCCATGGGACCTCAAACACAGAAGTCTGCATGAGTTCACACTCAAAAGACTAGCTACAGGAGAAACCATTCCTGCCACGAGGGCTGGGGGAGCAGTCTGCCGCCCAGTGCAGCAGGCTGGAGCGGGAAGTGGCCAGCAGAGCTGCAAATGAACGGTGGCTATGGAGGCAAGAGAGGCAAGGAGAGGCTTTGACAGCAGATCCAACGGCAAATGACTCTAGTCTCTCAAACTGTATATGCCCAGTCCTTGGACGCAGGTGTTCGCAGCTGCTTCTAGAAGCCTCCTCTCCTGGGGGCCTGCTCTGGTCAAACCACATGGTTGCTGGGTTGCTGATGGGGAACAGAAAGCTATGGACTGGGTCTTCCTGTTCCCAGAGGAAGAAAGAGTTGGTAGCACTCTTCAGAGAATCTTCGCCTCCACCGTGAGATGGGCTAGTTTCTGACATCTGTTCTTGTGGGTCACTTCCACAATTGCATGTGTGTGTGTTGGCTGGGGGGAGGGTGGAGTGTGTCCCAGAGCCACCAAAGAGCAGTTGTATAGTGGTGTGCTTTCCTTAAATCTTCAGGGAGTCTCTGGGAGGTCACGTGCAGTGGGGCTTAAGAGTTCTTTGCCATTGCAGTCAGCGAGGGCAGTGCTGGGCACTCTCTAGAACCCCAGACCCTTCCAGCATTAGTGACCTGTGGACTCTGAAGTCATGGGTGCCGAAGCTCCAGGCCAGCCGAGGGCCTGAGGCTGTCCGCGAATACTGCCCGGCATCAGGTGTCATCTTCAAAGTGCATGCAGGAGGGGGAACTTATTTGGGGCTGCAGAGATCAGGGAAGGCTTCCCGGAATAGGCGGGGTTTGGGTTGGACCTTGAAGGGCGGTCCTTCAAGCTGGAACAGCTACTGCCCGACTTTGCTGATGCCAGTATGGTCCCCGGTGCCCGAAGCTCCCCCGCCCGCACAGCTAGCCTCTGAGTAGTGGCCAGTGGGCGTAGCCAGCAGGCTCAGTGGCTAAGGCCAGAGGGTTTCCTTGACCTGAATGGTCCAGATAATGGCCCCAGATCCCTACTTCGCTGGGTTCCAGGAAGAACCCTTAGCGCATCACATTCCTGAGCAGAGTTTCCATCTGTCGAGTACAGTTGTACAGTGAGAGATGCTTTCATTTCGAGGGACTGAGGGCTATGGGTTGGTGACTGTATAAGCCTAGACCCCTAGGGGGAAAAAATGAAGGCTTGGGAAATTGTGAGGTCCTTGTGGAGATTCAAGCCTATTTCCAGTGGCTAAAAGGCACTAATGAGCATAATGCAGACAAGAGACGTCGGTTCAAACAAACAACTAATTGGAATTAAGAGAAGAAGTGTGCAGAGGCCCCTAATGAATGGATATGCTAATTGGTCTTCTTTGCTAGCCCCTTGGGCTTTGGCTGTGACATAGACTAGCCTATTAGATGCCTGCTCTCTAATAGCTGCTGAACGCCGGGCCCTTTATCACCATGGTAACATTGATGTCTAGAGTCTAGCTGAGCCCCGGATCTCTTAATTTACTACTCAGGCGGCTACAATTCTTTGGGTTTTATTATTCTTCGGGCCCCGGGTGCCAGAGTGGCAGTGAATCATGCTTATTCATCCTCTGCACCGCCCACGGTGTCTTTGAATAAGTCAGGGTGTCTCTTACTGTGTGTGATGAGCAGATTATTAAGTTAGAGCCTATTTCTGCCTTAGCTAGACTGGTGCCTCTCAGAAACCCAATGCACCTCTCTAACTGCCTGCTTACCTGCTGCATCAAGTGGCTTTTGGCAAGCAGAGTCATGGCACTGCAGTGGGCCCACAGAGGCCCCAATTCCCAGGAGCTTTGTGCTCGCTGGGTGGGCAGGGAGGGGGAGGAGCGATAGAGGTGGGGCCGCCCCAACCGATCGATCGACACCCCCCCCCCCCCAGGGAACCGGAGCTCAGGGACACAATCCATCAGAGGGAGCAGTCGGAGGGGGAGTAGGGTTCTGGCTCAGGAACTGTAGTGCTAGAAGTTTCAGTCCTTCTAGGGTTGGGGGTGGGGCCTGGGTGCCCAAGGAGATGCCTTGTTCTGAGGAAGGCAGTAGCCCCCAATGGCCAGCAGGTACTGGGAGAATGGATTTCCCCTTGTTTTAGAAAAGACCTTTGTTGAAAAGAAGCTGGTCACGGACGCCAACTGCCTCTGAAAGCCAGCGAGCCGCTTGTCACTGGAGCTGCCCGAAATTTGGTCTCTCGGCCAGGGGTGACGAGTAGGATGGAGGGCTTTGCCGGATGACCTCTTGGGAGTCCTCCAACTTTGACGTCTTCTGTGTCTATATGCGATGCTGTTTAATTTATCAGGGCGTACTAAACTTGGATGATACCTTCTACGTACATGTGCTGGCTTCAACTCTAGATGGGTTTGTCTGCGTCTATCTCCAGCCGTAGCTGAGACTTTGCAGCAGGTGCAGGGATGTTTTCCTGACACCTCTGCCACCCGAAAACGGGCAACCTGAAACTAAAGATTAAACCGGGCAGTAAACCCCCAGATTACCAGGGGCTTGCTAGTAGGGGACGGTCTTGTTTTTTGTGGGTTGGTTTGTCGTGTCGTTTTCATGTCACCGCAGCGTTTGGCTGGGCGTTCTCACAGAAGAATTGAGAGATCAGGGGAAAATGTGGGCTACGCAGATGTGGAGCCCCTCCACAAGGCTCGTTTTCTGTTTATTGGGAAAGGAGGGTGGGGGC